GAAATGGATCCTTTGGACACTCTTTGTTAAGACCCATGTAGTCAACACACATTCTCCATTACCCACTCTTTTTTTACAATAATGGGATTAGCTAACCACTCAGGGTGATACACCTCCTTGATGAATCTGGCCGCCAAAAGCTTCGCAATCTCCTCGCCGATGACCCTGCATTTCTCCTCGTCGAAGCGACGCAGGCGCTGCTTCACCGGCTTGGAGCCTGGCCTGATTTTCAAGGCATGCTCGGTGACTTCTCTCAGAATGCCTGGCATGTCTGAGGGTCTCCATACAAAGATGTCTCTGTTGGCGTGGAGGAAGTCGACGAGCGCGCTTTCCTATTTGGAGGAAAGCGTGGTGCCGATGCGCACCACTTTGTCCTCGGAGCTGCTGGGGTCTATGAGGACCTCCTTGGCACCTTCCACGGGCTCAAAAGACCTGGCTAACCTCTTGGGGTTGGGCTCTTCTTCGACGATCTCCTCCCTAATCGCCATGGCGTGTTCGCAGCACTCGACCTCGCACTCGTAGGTGCGCTGGAAGGAGGTGCCGACGATGATGACCCCACGCGGACCCAACATCTTCAACTTCAGATAGGTGTAGTTGGGGACGGCTATAAATTTCGTGTAGCATGGAAGTCCCAGGATGGCATGGTAGGTCCTGTGGAACCTGACCACCTCGAAGGTAAGGGCCTCCATCCTGTAATTGGTCAGATTCCCGAAGGTGATGGGCAGATCGATATGCCCGAGCGGCACCCAGCATCTTTAACTTTAGATAGGTGTAGTTGGGGACGGCCATGAACTTCACGTATCATGGATGTCCCAAGATGGCATGGTAGGTCCCGTGGAACTCGACCACCTCAAAGGTAAGGGTGTCCATCCTATAATTGGTTGGATTCCCGAAGGTGACTGGTGGACCGATATGCCCGAGTGGCACGGCCTGCTTTCCAGGCATGATGCCGTGGAAAGGCGCCCCGGTCGGCCGGATGCGCAACCGGTCGATGCCCATGTCGTTGAGCGTCTTAGCGTACATGATGTTGAGGCTGCTGCCTCAATCCATCAGCACCATGGTGAGCCGCTTCGTGCCGATGATCGGGTCGACCATGAGCGGGTATTTTCCTAGCTATGGGACTCTTTCCGGGTGGTCGGTCCAATCAAAGGTGATGGCGGACTCCGACCATCAGAGGAAGGAAGGCATGGCCAACTCGGCTGTATAGACCTCGCGGCGTGCAAGCTTCTGGCGGCACTTAGAGTCATAGGTCGCCGACCCTTCAAAGATCATAAGGCAGCCATCTGGCGTCGGAAAAGCCACCATCCTTCCCCTCGGCGTCGTCTGCCACCGGCTCGGGCTCCTTCCTATGCTCCCCCTTGTTGGAGCCATCGGACAGGAACTGCTTCATGAGCATGCAGTCTTTGTATAAGTGCTTGACGGGGAAGGCATGGTTCAGGCATGGCCCTTCGAGCAGCTTCTCGAAGTGGTATGGGGTACCCTCGGTGGGCTTTCGACCCCCATGCGGTCGATAGCGGCCACAAGCATGCCCTTGCGCCGCTGCTTGTTCTTCTTCTTGTTGGGGCGGTTGGAGGCGCATTCGCCGGCGTCCTTGTCCCACTTCACCTTGCCCTTGGGGCGGTCAAAAATTGCTCCGATCGCCTCCTCGTTCGAGACATGGCTGGTGGTGATGTCGAGGAGCTCCTTGGTGGTTCACGGGCCCTTGCATCCCAGCTTATGAACCAGGGACTCGTAGGTGGTCTTGGATAGGAAGGCTCCTGTAACATCAGAGTCGGTGACGTCGGGCAGCTCATTGCACTGCCGGGAGAAGCGCCGGATGTACTCATGAAGAGTTTCTAGGATGCGTGTAGGTGCCCTAGAAGTTTCCCATGAAAACCTCCTTTAGGTCCACCCAACTTTGAATCCGATTGGGCGGAAGGTGCTCCAACCATGTTCACGCCAAATTGGCCAGGAACAATGGAAGGTTGCGGATAATGAAACTATCACTATCCGCTCCACCGGCTTGGCAAGCAAGCCGGTAATCCTCGATCCATAGTTCAGGGTTCGCTTCCTCGGAGTATTTTGGGGTGTTGGTCGGAGGTCGGTACTACAGTGGGAAGGCGGCGTTGAGGATGTGTCGGCTGAAGGCCTGAGGCCTCGGTAGGTCGGGGCTTGGGCTCAGGTCCTCGCTGCTGTCGTAGAATCCACCACGATGAGGGTGGTAGCCGTGGTCGGCTTCCTCTCTGTCGTTGCTTCATCCATGCCTACGGGCATCTAGGGTGTTACGTGCATCACGGTGGAGGTCGAGACGCTCATGCACCAGAGCCGTGGCGCGCCCCCCGCCGCCGTGCGGTGACTGGTGGATAGACACGTCCCTGACATGTCGTCCTGAGGGCACATGCTGACTGGCGTTGAGATCGCGTCACCGAGACAGTGAGCTCTCCGCCTGCTACACCGCTGCGCGCTCGAGCAGCGTGCGGATCTCACAATGGGTCCGACTATCCTCAGGTGTCATGGGCTCCGAGAGCCCTCGGAGCAAGGCCACCGTGGCAGCGATGTTCTGGCTTTCCCGAGCAAAGTGTGGGAGGGCTCCATCGTCTTTGATGGTCCTCTGGTTCACATCACGGGCCATGGCGGGCGCACGCCCACCGTCTTCGCGATGCTCGATCTCTTGCTCGAGCTCCGCATGCTCCTGCTCTAGCTGGAGTCGTGCATCCTCGAGTTCCCTATACCGCACCCTCAGCTGCTCCACCCGTAGGCGAGGTGGGGTCCCTGCGTCTCCTTCGGCCTCATCATCGAGGTCGTTTGGTGTGGTAGCCCCTCCCTTGTGGATGCTTTCGATGTGTCCCATGGGGGTACCTACCATAAAACATTCTCGTGACGGGTGATGGCTCACCCTGCTGGAGTTAGAGTCGGAGGGCGACTCTGAATATCCCGCGAGAAGGTCGTGGAAAGATTCCACGACGTATTCGGTCATCCCCACGAACTCATCATTCATAGGGGATGGGTGCATGCGCTGTGCCACGAGGTGGCCAACGGTCCCTGTAGCATTGCGCAGACCGAACAGGAACGCTGTCGAGGTGCTCCGAATGAGGTATTCCAGGGAGAGCGGTTCCCCTCCGGCAAGCTACGTCATGACGTTGGCAAACAAGAAGTTGAGGTAGCGCAGGTCTCCCGGGATGGTCGGGGTCCTAGGAAGGCATCGAGCTAGCGCTTTAGCTTCCCATAATTGAAGCCGAGGAGCTGGCCGCTCCTGGGGGCACGAGACTCCAGCACGTGCAGCTGTAGCTTCTCAAGCGCCTCGACAATCGCATCGAGGCTGGTGGAGTGGAGAGGCTGGATGGCGGCGGAGGCCAGCACCAACTCTCCCTCTGTCATGATGATGAAATCTAGGTTCCCGAAGCGCACGTGCACGCCTGGGATCCAGCTGACGTTGTGACTAGCCATCCGAGGCCTGATGTGGACGTCAAGACGCGCAAAAAGCTCCTACGTGGCATGCCAACTGTCGGTGTTTTGGATCACTGGCTAGTAAATTTGTATCTGCGCGTCTAGCCCAGATGGTATGCTCGGAGGACAAAAGGATTTTTACTGGTTCGGGCAGAATGTCCCTACGTCTAGTCTGTTGCTGCTCGTGTTACCGGCACTGGTTTGTAGTAGGGGTTACAAATGAGCGTGAGAGGGAGAAGTTCCCAAGTCTCTGGTGAAAGGGTCGAATGGAGTTGAGCCTTCCTGAGCTTGTTCAGCCGTGTGCTCGTTCGCTGTCTCCCTTCTTGGGGCGTCCCGCTTCCTCTTTTATAGGTGAAGGGGAAGATGCAGGTTACAGTGAGAAAGAAGGAGAAAAGCGAGGGAGAAGAAGGCCTCCAGGGCCGCCGGGTTCTTCTTCTCCTTCATGTGGGTCCCGACAATGCTGTAGATGGTGACGGGGACGGCTCCACGTCGGGCTCCTGTTCACCACTGGTGCCATGCCCCGGCGTCATCAACTGGTCGTGGCGTCTCATCCCGTCCCGGTAGACGGCGTGGTGAACCGATGTGCCTGTCAGTGGTCGTACGGAGAGTAGGCAGCACAGCGACCACGCACCCGTTACTGTTGGTGATGTGAACCCCCGCGCATGGCCTGACGTGGCCATGGGTCACGTCAAGACGTGCCCGCTTCCCTCCCGGTGTCAGAAGTTTGACCCCGGAGTCGTACCCTCAGACTCGTAGTGGTTGGAGGCGATATGGGTCCCCGTCGGGTGAGACGGAGCCTGCGCCCCAGTGGTCGGGCGGGACGGAGCCCGTGCCCTCCGGGTCGGGCGAGACGGCTCTTGTACCCTTGGGGTCGGGCGACACGGCGCCCGTGCCGGAGGGGTAGGGCGAGACGGATCCCTGCCCTCAAGGTCGGGCGAGATGGCTCCCGTACCCTCAGGGTCGGGCGACACGGGGCCCGTGCCCTCAGTGTCGGGCGAGACAGAGACCGTCCCTTCGGGGCTGGTCGAGACTGAAGTACGTCCTTGATTATTTAGGCGAGTCGTCGTCCGTGGTCCTCAGATTCCTTCTCTGGGTATCCGTAATACCGATACCCGACAAAAGCCGTTAGTGGTATTTGTCGGTTTAGATGTTACTCTGGAGGCGGCTGTATCTTGACCGATCTCTAAAAAAAGCCTCCATTGCTGAAAAAACATTTTTTTAATAGTGTTAACACCTTCTGGAAGAAAAGATTTGGCCACAGCTCCAAAATAGAAGTGGTAGAAGCATGGTTTACTTTTTCCAAATAAAAATAAGATATCCTTTAAACAAAGCAGAAGGGGGCAGGCAATCACTATAGTTTCAAATGAGCAAGAGAATCGATCACAAGAACACAATCATTTTGGCAAAGAGAGACCATATTACATTATTCCGGAGCTTATTATTATTGTCTACTACAAAACTACTCACATGGATCAAGTAAGCTCGAACTATAAATGCAAATGACATTCCAGAACCTGAGTCTCTCTTTGGATATTTCACGGCGAAGACTAAGAATTTAGCTCAAATTTGGACCGCTAATATGTGGACGGCTGTGTCTGGAGGCCGAAGCCAAACGGGAACAATGGATCGTAGGGCGCGTCACCGACGTTCATTGGCAGCTGATCCACCGAGCGGAACCACGTCCTCGAGAGCTTCCCCGTGAACCCGTAGTCGCCGAACAGCACGTCGCTGACGCCCTGCCCCTCCGTCCCCGGCAGCCACGCCGCCACCAGTGCGTCGATGATATCGATGAACGGCTCAACCACCAGTGGCCGGCCGGAGACGAGTACCACGACGCACCTGATGCTGCCACAAACATTCTGGATGATGTCCGGCCCGGGGGCAGGGATGGTCAGGTTCAGATTGTCGCCGAACGTCTCGGCGTAGGGAGGCTCGCCGACGACGACGATGGCGTAGTCGAACAGGGGCTTGTTCTGCTGGACGAAGTCCGCGTCGGGGTTCTTGGAGTAGACGACGTCGGTGCCGGGGCCGACGGCGCGCAGGATGCCATCGAGGATGGTGGTCCCGGCGGTGAGGTTGTTCCCCGTGAGGCCCTGCCAGGTGATGGTCCAGCCGCCGCACTGGCTGCCGAGATCGTCAGCGTGGCTGCCGGCGACCAGGACCCTGACGCCATAGGAGAGCTTCTTGGGCAGCGGCAGCAGCGGCTTGGCGCCGGGCTTGCCGTTCTTGAGAAGGACGAGGGACTTGCGCACGGCCTCGCGTGCCAGGTCGCGGTGCTCCTGCTTGCCGAGCTCCCCGACGAGGCTGGTGTCGGCGTAGGGGTTCTCGAAGAGACCCATGGTGAATTTGACCCGAAGGATGCGGCGGACGGCGTCGTCGATGCGGCTCATCGGGATGGTGCCGTTCTGCACCAGCAACGTGAGGTCGTCGATGAACTCCGTGTACGTGTAGGGAATCATCACCATGTCAATTCCGGCGAGGATGCCCAGCTTGATGGACAGAAGGTAGTCAGCGTGATCTGGGGTCGTGATCCTGTCAAGCCCTTGCCAATCCGAGATGATGAAGCCCTGAAATAAACAATTAAATTAAATACATACAGTTCAATTCATTTTATTTATGCCTCAACAATTGACTTCAACATGTAGTACCCTAAAGCGGAGCCTGTTCTTGAGGTGGTCGGTGACGAGGAAGTGGTTGGCGTGCATCTTGACGCCGTTCCAGCTGGAGAAGGAGACCATGACGGTGGAGACGCCCCGGATGACGGCGTTGTAGTAGGGCGGCATGTGCACGGCCATCAGCTCGTGGAAGGACGCCACCGTGTTGCCCTCGTTCACGCCCTTGGTGGTGCCGCCGTCGCCGACGTAGTGCTTGGAGCACGCCGCCACGTTGCGCTGTCCAGCGATGTATGGCGCGCCGGGGCGGCCGCCGCTCGCCGGGATCTCGCCCTGGAACCCGGAGATGATGGAGGTCATGTTCGGACCACCCCGGGTGCTCGCTGAAGCTCTCGTAGCACGCCCCCCACCGAGGGTCTCTGCACACCGCGACGCAAGGAGCGAAGACGTAGGGGATGCCGGTGGCCCTGACCTCCAGAGCTACAGCAGCTCCAATCCTCTGTGCTAGCTCTGGGTCCCTGAACCGAATAAACATGCAACTCGATCAGATTTGTTTAATTATGTGATGATGAAAATTATATGTTATTACACACTTGATTTGTTTTAGGTCCAGTTTCACAAAGAAATTGGGCAAACATTTTGATTTTCATTTTTCCTTGTAATTTATTTTTGGCGAATAAATTGAAGCACACGTACGTACGTACGTACCTGGTGCAGCCGAGTCCGATGTTGTGTGGGAAGATGGTGGCCTTGTAGACGTTGCCGTGGCCGTGGACGGCGTCGATGCCGTAGATGATGGGGATCCCGAGGCGCGTCGACAGTGCGCCGCTCTGCATCCCGTTCACCATCTTCACCCACGCCTGCGGCGGCGCGTTCTTCGCCGGCACGCTGCCGCCGCCGCTGAGCACGCTGCCTGCACGGCCCGGACGCATGCATGGCTTCAGGATCTCGTACGTGTTTACCATACATGCATTAAACTAGGACGTACGTACGATTCAACTCTAGTTTAATTATTTTAAGCAGCCAGGTTACGTTACGTTGACTGGGAAACTTTATTTACCCATATATACCAACGTCGTCTGGCACGCAGTATTATCAATACCATAAAAAAAAGCAAGTGGCCGGCCTAGACTAGCTAACTAAAGTACAAAGGTTTATGATAATATGTATCATCAAATGCTAATAATCTCTCTCCCATCAATCTGGCAGATATGAATAGTTTTAATTTACGCTAAACACTGGTGACTGTTGCAAGCATGTATATATAGATATTATAGGCCTAAGTGTGGCCTTCGTTTGAAGTTTATTCGAACTTGCTTAGAGTTACCAAGCTCAATGGCCAAACTATAGACAAAATCAAAAGCAAGGACTACACGGCCAAAATATATATACATACTCACCAGTACATAGTTTTCACGTCATTAAAGAGAGTTTTCGTGCACCCATAATTACTGTTTGACTACTATTAACCTGGCCAAATAAAGTTCAATATAATGCTATTGCAGTATCTAACCCGTCCGTCATTGCTGCTGATAGCTACTAGCTGCATACAGAGCGCTATATATGGCCCGTTTGGGACTTCTCACATCCATGTTTTTCTTCTCCACTCCCAACTTTGCTATCCAAACAGCGACACCTTTACAAACACCGCTCTAAAAAAAAAGCAGTGTTGAAGGTCAACTGCCTCTAAGTTTTTTGTGGAGCTACTTCGTGACAGAGTTGGTGGAACAGGATTGGTTTTGGTGGAGTTGAGTAGTCCCAAACAGCTGAATCGAGTAGTCACGCGCATTGGAGGTCTATCAAGCTACTAGCTACGAATGACAAGATGCACGTACGCGTACATATACACATACATACATACATACTCGCATAGTCGCATATATACACATACCTATGAGGTACTTGTTGACGACGTCGGCGGTGGCGTTTTCCCGCTCGATCTGCGACATCTGCCCGATCTTCTCCGCCAGCGTCATCCGCCGCAGCAGGTCGTCGATCCGCGTGTTCAGCGGCTGCTTCGGGTCCTTGTACCTCAAGTAGGCGCCCTCGCCGCCGCCGCCGCCGCCCTTCATGGGCAGAGCCGCCGCGACGGCGACGCAACCGCACAGCTGCAGCAACAGCAAGCTGCAGGCGGCTGCCGCAGTGGTCATGGTCACCACCCTGACCCCCATATGGCTCATCAGCTCGCCTGCTAGCTCGATCCACCTACGTACTGCAATTCCCGCATGCATCATATATAGTTATTATATTATATATCATGCGTTACGCTGTTATATATATGTATGTTTGGAACGAACGATTTATACATATATATTGCATGTATGCACGTATATACGAAGAAAAGAAGAGCTACCTTACAGAGAAGAGCGCTACGAGAATGCATGCACAAATAGCCACAGTGGAGTGAAGTGTGGGGCTGTAGACTGTTCGCTTGGCCTCTATTTATGCACTACGAGTCTACGAGTAAGCAAGGGCTCATATATACAAAACTTTGGATAATCTCGGTGACTGGACCACGTTAGCTTGCGATGGACTTTGTACATGTAAAAATTATCTCGGTGATCAACCTATGGCCCTGTTCGCTTGGAGGAATTTGTGAGAGCGTGAACAGTGAATTTCAACCGTGAACAATAAAATCCGGCTGGTTTTTGCACCAGCCGAACGCCCCCTATATCACATAGTTCAAAGAGGATAGGATATATCTAAGATTCAAGGGAGTATTTCCCCACCATGTATAACTTAAGTCAGAACAGATAGAGTTACCATTTTGATTAGGTGTTACGTCCAAAATCAATCCACAAGATTGTTGTGTCTCCTGCAATTACAATAATACTGTGCAGGAGCAATGTTTTTTTATAAACCGTCTCTTTTCATGAGTAACATTTCTCGAGCCACAGTGAGTCTTTTATTTGAAAAATAACGTCTGGTAGTGTGATAGTTGCATTGCGCAGTACTCTCTCCGTTCCAAATTACAAGTCGTTCCGACTTTCTAGTCAGAGAGTCAAAACATCTCAAGTTTAACAAAAATTATAGAGAAAAATATAAAGATTTATGATATCAAATATGTATACTATGAAAACATAATTAATAAAGAATCTAATGATATTTTTTATCATAAATGTTATTAATTTATTGTATAAATTTAGTCAAATATGAGATGTTTTGACTCTTCAAGAAAATTGGAATGACTCATAGTTTGGGACGGAGGGTGTATTTCATGGATGCACGGATGGTGGATCTCGAAGACAAAACAAAATTAAGGTCACCGCACAGTATGATTTTTTGTTGCCACAAATCGCACCGATATAATAATGTAATTGTTCAGACCAGTCCAGCTAGTTCGTCAACCTCGCCGGCGGCTATTGGATTCGTCCGGTGTCAGCGGGGTCATTACCACCAGCTTGTCAGCTCATGTCATAGGTTTCTGAATTGCTTAATGTATTATTAGGGCATGCATGCACGTGAATTGTACTTATATATGGATCGAGGTTCTGAACCACCGCAGTTTAGAAAATATAAAAAGAGTAGTATCCCTCAATCTTCGATCGAGCAGATCTCGATCTCGGACGCAACATTAATTTCGAGTCTTTCTACTAGATCGATCCGCCACAGGTATGGTTCAGATCTCGCTCCATGGAGAGGAGATGCGCGAGCTAGTCAAGAGAAAGTGACTTTAGAGCGAGCGTCTCCAATATATATATATAGCTTCTAATCTAATATAATAAATCACTTGTTAAATTTACGGTTATTCACTACTACAATAAGCATTTATAGGGGCGGCCGACAATAGTTTGTAGAGGAGCTTTTGCTAGTCGCCCCTATCACACCGTCTCTATAAATCAAGGGTTTGTAGGGGCATTTCCCAAGCCGCCCCTACAAATCGATTTGTATAGGCGGCTGGTGACGTACCAGCCGCCCCTACAAATAATTTCTATTTGTAGGGGCGGTTCAATTTAGAACCGCCCCTACAGTATATTTTTTTGCTAAAAAAAATTCAAATTAAACCGCCTCTACAATACATTTTCCCACAAAAAAATTTAAATTTTAAAATTTAAATCTGACCAGAACATATATACATATATGCATACATAATTCAAACATTGTATCCACAAGCACAAGAATATTATATACAGTAACATTACAAGTCCAATTCACAAAAACATATATAATTCATCGTTACATAGACATAATTCACAAGTTCAATCCGTTTCACAATTCCAAACCGTTTCACAAGGTAAGATCAATGTCATATTTTATACACATTGTTATCAACGGCCTAGAGCTAGTATTTCCATCTCACGAAGATGTCGGTACTAAGGATGCCTTCCTAACTCAGATTTTCAATCATGATAGGTGCCTCTTACGTGTATAATCTGATCAATTATGAAGCTGCAAAGATCGCCGACGAGCTCCAAGAGGTTGTCATCTTTGTGTGGTTCAGCTCTCATTTCTTTCTCTTCTTTCCACTCCAATAAAACAAGTTGGAGTTTAGTATGTCATAACATATGCTAACATCTATAAAAACAGTGAGCATATAAAAAACAGTGAGCATATCTAAAGAGGTTCAAACTTACTCTTATAGGGGTGTCTCCTGTAGGCATCGGTGTTACTCATGAGAGTGCATACGTAGTATCTACAGTGTACACTCCCAGACTTTTGCTTGGGGCACCGTGTGTTTCGCATATGCAAATGTTAAGTAATGCTCTTGACACCAACATAATGGAGTACTAAAGTAAATTATACTTACCGCACATAGTATTTTGACACACAGGTTAGGCCCTTTTGTTGGATCATGCCTCCCTTTATGTTCGTTAATGTAGAACCTGTACGCCCTGTTTGAATAAATTTAACAAATGCAATTTGTTAGTATTCAAAACTGAACGTTACAAGTATGTATACAAACATATAAGACAATGAGGATTGTCGATATATATACATCTTGAGAATCGATATGAAGTCTTTGTATGTCGTTGGGTCCTTATCTATTGAATCATAGACCCATGCCATGCCTAGGCCGACATCGACGCCTATACAAATCTAGTGATTGCTGTAGGAATTTAATCATAGTAACGGATAAGCTCTTTTGCATCAAACAATATATATCGAACAAAACTTTAAGTATAGAGTTGAACTTACTCGAAGTTATACGCTAGCCATATAGCAGAGCAATTTTGGAGATGTTTAAAAGCTAGGGCAATGTATGCCGCAACCTTAAGTGACGCTTCACGTATTTTCTTGTTTCGGATTTTCTTTCTCCTCAATAGTCTTTCCAGCAGTTAGCTCTTTGGCATCCAATTTTCAGTCATTGGCGTAATAAAAACATGTTACTGCTATACATTGAGGGTCTATGTACCCGGCTCACACATTTGGCATTTGTTTTGAAAGGTGCACTTGTATTCTACAAATCACCACATGGGTTAGTATCAACAAAATCCAAAGATTACAATAGTATCATATTGAGAGGGCAAGGACTTATAAGCACCACGTGCGAATTACATTCATTTCCATTGCTCTTAGGTGAAAGCATGTCTAGACATCATTAAAGTCAAAGATAATTTTTCTGGCTAGGCCTCCAAATGTGCCGGCAGGGAAGCGTGCTTGTATGAGATCTATGGTCGTTGGGATAACACGCAAGTACCAATCATGGAACCTTCTCATTCCAAGTGGTAGGCGCTGGATGTCCCAGTTTGGTAGAAAAGACTTGCCTCTTTCATATGTTTTCGGGCAATCCTTTGACCATTTGATGGCATCAACATTTAGATACTTCTTTGCCGGTTGTTGTTTGCTGGTGACGTCCTCCTCAGAAGCCCGTGCTAGGACTTCTTTAACTTGGTTATCAGGATTTAATTGGTCATGGGCATACCACTTGCACGCCGACGTGACGTCTCTCATCGATGTAAAAATTGACCTTATGGTGATTGGATGCTTTTTTTGAATTGATGGCTCCTTGCGGGGTACCCTCTTGTGCATGCACTTTTTTAGGAGGCCCTTGTTGTTCATGTATCGGGTCCGTATCAGGCCCTTGCTCCTTACGAGGTGGAGAAGGCGGTGGCATCTCAGGCACGGGCTCGCTAGGAGGCAGGGAAGACTGTGGCATAGGCTGTGGCATCTCATGCACATGCTCACTAGGAGGCAGGGAAGAATGTGGCATCTCAGGCAAGTGCTGGTGATGACACAGAGAAAGTATCTCCCCCTCCTCAACAACTCTCTCCAAACATTGAACAGGCGGCGAAGAAGCAGTCAATACAATATCATGTTTGTGCTAGTGGATGAACTGGTTCATTACTTCTCTGAGTAACTGCTGTCCGTCGGGAGTTGGGTAGTCAATGCACAACTGCATGTTCTCGGACTTCACAGTATGCACCTCGACCCTAGTGTAGTCCGACAGGATCCTATTATTGTGATGCAAGCCGCCAGGTGGATGTGCCACACCCGTTGCCACCTCCATCATATCATAGTGTTCTGCCTACTGATGAGAACCACCAAGGTGCAACTAGTTGGTTCCCATATGCGATCGATGGGGGTTGTGGCTGCAATGGAACCTTGGCTGCTAGAAACTTTTGGAGAGCTGCCAACTAATGCCAGTTCTCTCGTGGCGCCATTACTGTCCTTGGCTTCATAGACAGTCCTTGCTCCTCTTCAAATCCATTCTTCTAGGTCGTTCTTTTCCCTAGCCCCCTGGTGTGGCCTGTGTGCTCGGCGTTTCCTAAGCCAAGGCTAAGCTTGTCCCTCTCTCTAGAAGGCTTGAATGAGCCATTCTCCTGGTCTTCAGCATATTTCAGTATCTTTGATACTGCCTCTTTGATCGTCAGGTTATCAAACTTAAGGGAACTGTCGAATGCTTCTATACTCCTCCCAAGGATCCAATTCCTTGAGCGTAGCTTCAACCCCTTCAAGTTTAATTTCCTAGATGCTGCGGCATCTTTCTCCATCTTCCTAAACTTCTCTTCTTTGCCATAGTAGCCACCGTGACCAAGATGATGGTGGTGTTGGTTCCTCTTCGTCAGCTCGGTGTTACGAGCATTGAGGGCCAATGTTTTAGGTGTATCTTCTGGGCCACGAGCTCCTCCCATTGACTAAGAGTTATGTTGCTGAACTCATAGAATGGAGTTAACCCCTTTTGGATATATTTCTTGTTGAGCTCTGACCT